AATAATAATAATATATATTTATTCTGTAAATTGCAAAAACACAATTATAGAAACGTCAAAATAATACAGCACAATATAACATTTTTGAATAACATATAGACACAATAGACTAGCGAGAACAGATACAATTGTAAATATAAAATACTATACTGCACTCATAGAGCCTATTCCTTAAGTCTGGCGTCACAAAATTCCATGAACTCTTGCACAGTATAGAATGCATTTTGTTGGAGAATTGATTTTAGCTTTTCTTTAAATTGTTTGGTGGCACAGATTGTAAGGTCTTTCGGTAGTAGATTGTACAGTTTCGTGGCCATATGGAACGGAGATCTTGTATAGTATGTGTGGTGATGCCGGTGGCTTAGGATCTTTTGTTTGCCTCTAGTATTATGTTGATGCACATTATTTAATTTGATAAAGTTATCATAATGCGAATGCACGTATGTTAATAATTTCAAAATGTAAATACATGCAAGCGGTAATATTTTGTACTTTTTAAAGGTATCTCTGCATGTCTGCATGTACCCTAGATTAAATATAAGCCTTATTATGCGCTTCTGTGAAACGAATATTCTTTGCATTTCCGGGCTAGCACCCCAGCACATGATATTGAAATTTAAGTGCGAATACACCCCTGCATAGTACACTTCAATTACGCTATTTTGATCGATTTGATGTTTAATACGAGTTATCAAGTAGAATGCTTTATTTAACTTTGTTCGGATGTGCTCGATGTGAGTATGCCAGGATAGTTCGTTGTCAATTTTACATCCCAAGTAGGTAGCAGTTTGCGAACATTGAATGGTCGTATTTTCTATGAATATATTGCAGCAGCCTTTTTTATACGGGACATATTAATAATGGTAGTTTTATCTATGTTCGCTTTTAGGTTATTCTTAGAACACCAGCTTAAGAATTCTTTTATAACCTGATTCAGTTTTGCGATCACTGAGTCCACATCCTCAGCACTCACAACCACAGCTGTATCATCGGCGTACATATAAGTGGTTCCACTTAGTAAGTGGAGCGGTAGATCGTTACATAAATCATAAAAAGCATGGGTCCAAGGTTACTACCCTGAGGGGTTCCCATGTTCAGAACGTATTCGGCAGAAGTCGTGTTCTGATACTTCACAGCGTATTTTCGGTTATGTAGGAACGATAAAAGGAAGTCGTGTGTTTCGTTTCGTATTCCCACACTCTCAAGCTTCTTTGAAAGAATATTTATGTCTATGCTGTCGAAAGCTTTTTTGATGTCAAATAATACAACGTAACATTGTTTATTTAAATCAATTTCGTTATAAATATGTTGCACTAGGTGGGTGGTAGCATCTTCTGTAGACATTCGTGGACGGAAACCAAATTGTCTTTGGGAAAGAATTTGGAACTTTTCAAAGAACTTCATTAGGCGCTCGTATATGCATTTTTCAAACACTTTTGAAAAAGAGCTTAATAAGCAGATCGGTCTGTAGTTGCTGATCTCAGTTACCTCTCCCTTTTTATGGACTGGTATTACTTGGGCTGTTTTTAGCTTGTCAGGAAATACCTACGCCTTGAGTTATGCAATAATTTATAATGTTTGATAGTTGTGAAGCAATGGTGTCCGAACAGCTTTTGAGAAGAGCGTTGGGAATCTCATCATTACCGGGAGATTTTTGTCCTTTTAATGAATTTATTATATTGTAAATTTCATTGGGAGATGATGGCTTAAAATAGAAGGATTCTTTAAGGTTGGTTTTTATAGTACTTTGGTTGCTAAGAACAGGAGTATCATTATGGGGAACTACGCTTTGTAAAAAGATGGCGAAATCTTCAGAATCGATGTGCTGGCTTTGGATTTGTTTCTTTTTGGACCGAATTGAACCAATAAGATCCCATAAGGTCTTCGCTTTATTTTCAGCCTTACTTATCGTTTTTGACATATACAGCTTTTTTTCTGAGTTGATGTCTTTAGCTATTGATTTATACATCCCTTTTAAACGTTGTTTTAATTCGTCATTACTCGCAACTTTACAGATTAAGCTAAGAGCTTTAAACTTATTATTAGAGACCGGACTGATATGCATGAAAACACATCAAAAATGCACATATATATGCACAACAAATATGGCAAAAAAGCATCAAGATATGCATGAAAAATTAAATAATGCACAAACAATTATTGAAGTTTCTTTAATTCAAACTATTTAAACATAAGCTGTTTAAAACCATCTTAAAATTTATGCGCCTATTACTTAGTACGTGGTTATGTACAGAGAAACGTCTTTCCACATCGACACTAATACTAATAATGATTATAATGATTTTTTTTGTTTTGTTTTCCTACAGGAATTATTATAATGATTTTTTTTTTGGTTTGATTTCCTCTTTCCTGATAGCGTTGGCTATTGTGCCCATCAATAGGTATGTTGGTAAGTATGAATTATATACTATCCCTAGATTTCCAATGTACGTGTGTGATAATTTTTTTTTTTTTTTGAGGACCCTACATAACTTCACCAGACACAGACACAGACACTAATCGTTACTTTTTTAATCCGTGCGATTAGTTAACCAGGCTAGACCTGAGTTCTCACAAGAAACACCGACCATAATAATAATACATTTATTGGTACAAGCCCAAAGGGTAACATGTTCAGCCAATTAATGCTGAATTGAACACCGCTGACGTTTTATAATTTGACAAACTTGGGCGCCATATTTTTTTTGTATTTCATTTATTTTTTTATTCTTTTTTTCTTATTCTATTTTTATTGTTTTCTTTTGTTCCGTTTCTATTTTATAATTTTTAGTTTATTTGATTTATTATTCGTTCATCTTTATAATTTATAAATAAAAATATAATTGTTGCAATTACTACCCCTGGAAGCTTGTTTTGTAATAAAATGGTTAAAAAAGTTAATAAAATGCTAATCTATCTTAAATATGCACAAAAACCCCAAAAATGCAAAATATGCACTATTTTCTTTGCGCCAATGTGATTCATTTTTGTTACTTCGTGTAAATTATTCTTTTATTTTGAGCTGCATACAATATTTACGTAATGCATAAAAGCATGAAATCCGGTCTCTA